GGAGCCTGGGTTTTGATCCAGGACACATCTCCAACACACCTGGGCCACCTCAGATTATAGTTGGGAAATGTGGCTCCCAAACCCCGGTGAAGGTACCAGGAGACTGGTTGTCCTGGGGGCAGCGAATGGTGTCATACCTGGACACATGAGTGTCAGCAGCACAAGGCCCACCTAGAACATGGCCCACAATAAAAATCACCACTTCCACAACAACCACGTGCAGGGTGGCAGAGGGGTGCCACCTCAGTTAGCTTCCAAACACGTGAGACCAGGATCACTGCAGCCCTTTTCAGGTCAGGTTCAGCAATGGTCTGGGATCTCATGGGATGCAGAGGCAAGGAGGCCTCAGTTTGCGGCCCGGCACAGGATGAAGACCTCACTGGGTGAGTGAGTGCCCACCTTCAGGCAGCCAATCTGGCTTTCAGGGCACAGTGTGCAGAGGTCACGGTTGGGCGAGATCAAACTTGTAAACCAGGCTGAAGATGAAGCCCAGGGTCCTGTCATTCCCTGTTCTCCCCAAATCTGGACAGGTACCTTGGTCTGGGTGTGCAGTCCTCAGAAGTAGGGCACAAGAAGAACCAGCTTTGGGTGTCTGCCTAGGACAGGAACAAACACAAGGACAACCTCAGGATCTCAGGACACAAGCACCAGAGGGCTTCAGGAATAGGGGCATGGAGAGGGGATGGGGGAATGGTGGGTAAAGTGGCAGTTGGTGGGATGGAGGTGGGGGGCAGGAATGGAATGGAGTGGGGCCAGCAGGGGTGAGGGCAGAGGAGCCACACTAGGGAAATGCTAGTACTTTCAATTGTAAAACTGAGTTCTTTAGATAGATTTTTCTAAAGAAAATCCCCCACTTAAAAATACAATCCACTGGCATTTAGTCCATGATGGGGTCTGTAGCATTTTCGTCATCCCAGGGGGAAGTCCTTGCAACCCCTTAGCACTCCCAACCACTACCCTCTCTGCATTTGCCCATCTGCACCTTGCCTGAGTGTGGAGTCATTCAATGACCAACCTGTTAGGTGTGGAGTCTTTCATTCAGCAGACTGGCTTCAAGCTTCAGCCTCGTAGCAGAGTGTGATAGTCCTACACAACTTCATATGTCTATATTCTATCATGTTGTGTGGGTAGATCATGTTTCTTTCGCCACTCAGCCATATTATATGTTGGACATTTGGGTGGTTTCCCCTAGTAAGTGACATCTCCTGAGGGCTTCCTCTGTGTCCCATGGCCCTGGGGTAAATTATTTACTCTATTCATAGATTCAGGAATAGAGGATATCAACCACTGGCCCAGGGTAAGAGCTAACAATTGGGGACATTGAACTTGAATGCTCAGGCTCCTAAAATCATAAGAATCAGAAAGATATCAAAGGATTTTCAATTAATGTGCACCCTTCAACTTCGCAACTGCATAGCTACCCTCTTCCTTGCTCTCCTGGATTCATCTGCATTGGCTATTTGGTCCATCCTTCCCTTGGAAATTATGGGCTTGCCTCCCCGTGCACCTGTCACGACTGATGCAATTCACTGTCCCATTAATTTGAAATATCACACTTCCCTTATTAGTGTGTTAAATCCCTATGCATATTTGCTTTAGACTTTTCAGAATTTTCCAGGCCTTCAGGTCTTGCTTATTTGCCCTTTCTCTGGAATCCTTTTCATCAACTTCTAGAGCCATCCCTGAGATCCATCTAGGCACCCTGAAAGCTGACCACCCAGAAAAAGGATTCAACCTGTAGATCTCCTTACCCAATCCAGCTCCACACACTTTCCACTGGTTAGGACTCAAGCCTGACTCACTTTATCACAGGCATAACAGAAGGGAGGAGAAGTGAGTAAACTGGTCTTTAGGGTGGTAAATAAGAAGTACATTTTCCATAGAGAGCATGTGCTTTTGAAAATTTTAATGGGAACATGTTTTTTTTTTAAACTCAGTCTTAGTATAGCAACTATTCCTACTAGCTGTATATTTTAGTAACATTTGATACTCTCAATGTTTATTCTTTTAT